AATCTAAACTTCGACACTATAAAAAGTAAGATTTTTCATCACATCAAATTTCAGAATATATACGTAGAAAGATTAAACGCCGATAAAATTGTAAACTAATTACATAATTTAGCTTATCTTTCATGGAGACCGAACGTTTTAAGACTAATTAATTGGACAAACGAAATGCTAACGGCGCCGATTCATGGCAACTAAACATAGCCCCAATTATTTTTCTCTGTCGTGACGTGAAATGAATGAAATCCGCCCTGTCAGACGAAGACAGAGCGTTGCCAGTGGAGCTTCTTGATCCGCTCCGGCTGTTCCGTGGACCGTGGACCGGACTTGGGGTTGGGGAGGCCCTCTGTCTCCAACTCTCCATGGATGAGGCAGCAGGACTGCTGTTGCAAGAAGAGGGTGGAGGTGGGGACCACGAACCACTCCTCCTTCCACTTCCACAGGTGAACTCCCTGATTACCATCTCTCTGTGGTTCAAATTCCATCCTGTAGTTTATCGTAGCCAGTCTGTGAGATTCAGTTAGTATTCCTTTCCGGGCCAGCTATTTGTTCCTTTCTTTGTTTAACGAAAATTCCTGCTTGAGGAATCCATCCCTCGAGTTCAAGTCAAAACTTGTGAGGCATTCAGAGTTCTTCAGTTTCTGTTTATGAATTTGTGATGCCATGTTTTCTGTTCGAGAAAAATTGTGATGCCATGTTTTGCATGGTAATGTATTTGATGCTAATTCGGAGTTCAGGCAAGTGGGTGGAAAATCCGACTGCCCAAAATAGATGTGTAGTTCTATTTCGACAGGGATTTGTTGAACGCCTACCGTTAATTCATAACTGTTTGCCCATGTTGGGAAGATTGATGGGAAGCAATTAAGTTCTTTCCTTTTCTCTGTCTTTCTTTTGGAGGATAAAAACAGTAGCACCTGCTAAAGCATTACGAAAGTGTATGTAATCCATTTAGGCCTTGTTCGTTTCATCCCTAAACCATGGAATTGAGGGGATTGGAGGTGATTGAGGAGGATTTTGACTTGTAGAGGATTTAATCCCCTCAATCCCTCCCAATCCCCCTTGGTTTTAGAGCAAAACGATCAGGGCCTTAGGTGGTTTAAGCCTAAGTGCTAGTGTTATCTTTTAGCAGGACGCTGGCCTTTACACAGGTGATGGATCTGTTGATGTCAAGGGCGCCCTGCATTAAAGCGCACTACAGGCAATTGGAAAGCATGTTTTTCATCCTAGGTAATTTTTTTGGCAGATGCATATGCCAGAAAACTTTGGCGCATAATTTGGCATGTTCATATTCTGTTACGCACACTATTCTTCGGTTTGATATATGATCACATTAATAATCTCAACTATCCATTGTTAATGTGTAATATGTGATTTTGTTTTGCTTAGGAGGTCAAACTTCCAACATGTTCACCTCTTCTTACAAGTGCTTATATAGTTTCACATACCTAAGATTCTCCATAGGCACTTGGCAGGCGCCTGCTGCAGGATAACCAAAAGAAAATCCTTGATTTTTTTCTATAAAGCATCTCTCCAAACATCTGCATTGTACATGAAATTTTATATCCTCAGGAAAATCATATATTCAGCATTAGCCAGAACAGTCAGAGTCATATAGCACAACACGCTTCAAGACTAACCCATATTACAGATCATAAGGTAAATTGAAGCATTCCTGCACTTTATAAATCCAGAAACAAGTTTTGCCAAGTTTCAGCATTGCTAGTCTTTTGACAGGGAATGAGTGTTGTGAAAGGTTGGCCTACTACGGAATTGCGTACAAAAACCTAGTTACTTATTTGAAAGTGAAGCTTCATCTAGGCAACCTCGAGGCTGCAAGACATGTCACCACTTGGCAAGGGACATGCTATCTCACTCCCCTTGTTGGAGCCATCTTAGCAGATTCTCATTGGGGGAAATACTGGACAATTGCTGTTTTCTCATCAGTTTACTTTTATTGTAAGTACAAAGATATTGCCACCCAAGTAATAACCTATATTTTAGTACAATATCCATCCCATGCTAACTTAGAAAACAAAATAAAATCTTTGTGGCATATACTACTTAATAATTTATGGATAGTCTTTATTCTTATATTGTGGAGCCCACTGAGCATTAAAATGAACATGTAGGATATTGGATTGCATCATTAGTGTCAGACTCAGATTAACTTGAACATTTTAATATTTTCATTTTCTTATATTTTTTATCATGTGAAATAAATGTCTACCCTAGCCTGAAGCACTAGTTAAATCAAGTATATGACTTCTTTTTTTTCTTTACTGAAGGGCTCTGGCTATTTTGACGCTGTCAGCATCAGTCCCAGCATTGCAGCCACCTTCATGTTTAAGAACAGTTTGTCCAGAAGCAAGCTTACTTCAGTATGGCATATTTTTTGTTGGTCTCTATATGATAGCCCTAGGGACTGGAGGTATCAAACCTTCGTCTCCTCCTTTGGAGCTGATCAATTTGATGACACTGACCCAGCAGAGAGAGAGCTAAGAAGGGTTCCTTCTTCAATTGGTTCTACTTCTGTATAAATATTGGTTCATTCATATCAGGCACTATCATAGTGTGGATACAAGATAACACTGGCTGGGGAATAGGATTTGCGATTCCTACTATATTCATGGCATTAGCTATTTCATTCTTCTTCACAGCTTCAAATAAGTACAGATTCCAAAAACTGGTGGGAGTCCACCATAAGAGTGTGTCAGGTAGTTATAGCAGATTTAAGTAAGTGGCACATTGAAGTGCCACATGATACATCTCCTTTATGAAGTTGATGGCCAAACTTCAGCAATTGAGGGAAGCAGGAAGCTGGAGCACACAAATGAGCTCGAGTAATTCTCATTCTCTGTGATGGAGTCACTACTTACTACTTTAGTTTCAGTATCATGTGGCACCACATTTATGTAATCTTTGGAAATGACAGTACTTATTATATGCATAAAGACATTGAACTTCACTACAAACTTTTTTACTGTCTCAACTTGAGGATACTGGAAAATAAGTACATAAATGCAATGAAAAATAAATAGGAATTATTCATAGGATCAGACAACCATGATACTTTCTCCCATACAATTGAATTATCCATACTTTCCCTGGCATAATATATTTCATATGTTCAGAATGAAATAATGGTGCGAGAGCTTATTTATCTTGAAAAGTACTGAAGTAGTTTGATAACAATATATTGCAGCCGAAATTAGTTGTAAAAGTTGCTTTTTGGGGGACCATTTCAAATTGCCAATGTCCTAAACAACACTTCTTTGTGAGTTTGTGACAAAGAGTAGTAGTATGTTGTAGTTCTATTAGACATCCAATACAATAGGAATAGTGACTGCCACTTAATTGTCAATACTCAGTAGTCAATAGTAATCCAAATCAACTTGAACTCCATAGAGGAAGCAAATGCATCGTGACACCTGTTACTGTGTACTTGTGATCTTGTTAAATGCTTGCTTGTAAATGCAATGTTTGGTAACATAACTTAAGCCTCAGGACAGGACTAGACACATGTTACTTGCATCTTGTAACCTTTCTCTTTTCCTTCTTAATACAAAAGATACGCAGCTCTTATGTGTTCCAGAAAAACATGTTACTTGCATAATTGTCTTTTTTTTCCAAGTATGTTACACCTGTAAGCAGCTTGATTTGCAGACTTGTCTTTTGTTGTGTGACTACAAGTCTACAATAACATTTTAGCTACCTCTCTTTTGTGTAGGTTCCTTGATAGAGCTGCCGTTATCTCACCTGCTGATCTGAAGAGCTAATCCTTTACAGACTCATGGAAGCTTTGCACAGTTACCCAGGTTGAAGAATTGAAGATCCTAATAAGAATGTTTCCCATTTGGGCTACTACTATCATATTCAGTGCTGTTTACGCCCAAAACTCTTCCATGTTCATAGAGCAGGGCATGGTTCTTGACAAGCGCATTGGATCTTTCAACATTCCTCCTGCATCTCTCTCAACTTTTGATGTAATCAGCGCCATCATATGGGTTCCACTTTATGATCGCATTCTGGTGCCAATAGCCAGAAAATTCACCGGAAGGGAGAAGGGTTTTTCGAGCTACAGCGGATGGGAATTGATTAGTCCTGTCAATTCTTGCGATGGTATCTGCAGCCTTGCTGAGTTGAAGCGCTTAGGAGATTGCCAGGTCGGAAGGTCTTATTCATGAGAAGGCTGCTGTTCCAATGAGCATTCTTTGGCAAATACCACAATATTTCTTGGTGGGTGCTGCTGAGGTGTTTACTTGTATAGGCCAAGTTGAGTTCTTTTTACGATCAGGCCCCAGATGCCATGAGGAGTTTATGTGGTGCATTTGCACTTATTACAGTCTCACTGGGAAGCTATATAAGCTCCATCATACTTACGTTGGTGGCGTACATTACAACTCAGGCAGGAGATCCTGGATGGATCCCTGACAATCTGAATGAAGGCCATCTCGACCGGTTCTTTTGTTAATTGCAGGGATAAGCTTTGTGAATTTGATAGTTTCATATGGGTTGTGCTGTGAGATACAGAATATAAGAAAGCCTCTTTGATTATATTTACGTGAACTCTTGTAATGTGATTCCTGGTGCCATACTTAGTAAATACAATGCATTGTACAGACTTCTGAAGTCCTGCGATTCACTGACTGACTTTCTATTGCAAATCCTACTGTAATTTATTACATGCAGAATAAAGTATCTTGTGATTACTTTGTCTGTGGCAGTAGAGTTATTGCCTTGTTCTATGAAAAGCTTCCAATTGTTTGTTCAAAGTAGGCCTTTGTGCTACTTTGTTTGCTTGAAATGTAGCCACCCTGTGTTCCTTTTGAATTGTGATTGCTTTAATTTCTTTCATAGTAATACTCCATACCATACATGGATCCAAGTAAAAACATTGCAAAGCAGCCTTTCGCTGCCAAACTTAACACCAAATTCCATTCTCCTTACGTACATGATCTGTTACTAAGAAAGAGCAGCAAAAAAAGAAAGACATCAACATTTTATTACTTCAGCAAACAGATGGATGTAACGTTTGAAAGCCTCACATCCATGTAGGTTTGCGTAACAGATATTCTGTCAGGTTGTGAGTCCTCGCCTTTCTTCTGCATTTGACAAAAGAAACAGTTGAGCATGTGCATGCTCATCTGCAAAGGAACAAGCAGAAATGAGTGTTTAGTATTCCATGGCAGATCTCTCGAGACAGAAGATCACAGAATTTGCAGAAGGAAAGGTTCAAGTGCCATTTTGTTGTAGTTTGCCTAGGTACCGCAAAAGCTAACTTCCCAAACAATGCCACAATATCAGTACTGCCTGTAACATTGGCCTTAGTCATTTCCGGTCTTAAAAGTCAAAAGTTAAAAAAACCATTTCCTTGTATATGCAGCACAGATCACCAAAAATCCCTGCAAGAATAACTCCCATTCTTGAAGTGATGGAACCTATTAGAGTCCCTGACAATGATCTCTCTCTGCACAATCTTTGATATTAACTTAATAGTGGTATGACAGTCCCCCACAAATCGCAGATTCTTGAAAACCTTGATGGGAGCACCCTTCGAGTAGCAATGATTCCAAAAGCAACAGCAAGTCCGCTTCGCTATGATAACCAATGTCCTGCTGCTTCTGCTCGTCTTCACATCATGGAGAACAAATCCTGTGTCTGCCACATACCCTTCTTCCCTCATCTTCAGATACAGCTTTCTTCAGAAGCGCATATATTTCTTCAGCTTGAGGATGCAACTTATCCCCAACCAGAAACACATGCACCCTTGTCCCAGCTTCAATCCAACTTGAGGCTGGCATTTTAGTAATGCGCTTTAACTCCATGATCCGTCCTCAGATTCTCAACTTCATCAAACAAACCAACTGATGCATAAATATTGGCTAGAGTAACATATGTTGCTGGATTTTCAGGTTCAATTTCAAATAATGCTTCTGCTGCCCACTTTAAGTAGGCGGACATTCTTATGAACTGCAGCCACCAAGCAAGGACGCCCATAGGAACTTGTTAGGCTTTACAGACATTGTGTCGATCATCTCTTCTGCTCGTTTCAAACAGGCCTGACCGGCTGAGGAGATCAATCACACAACATAATGATCAGCAGTGTGCTCAATACCATATTCATCCTTTATCGAATGGAAGATACCCAGACCTTTATCGACCAGGCCAGCATGAGCACATGCAGATAGAACACCAACAAAGGTGACATGATCAGGCCTGAATCCGGACCTCAATAACATGTCGAAGTAATGTAATACCTCATCTGGTTGCCCATTCTGTGCATAAGCCAGGAGATCATGTACCTGTCCATGACACCAAGTCCGGCTTTGGCATCCCCCTAAAGACACCCACTGCAGTTCCCATGTCGCCGTACTTGGAATATATGTGCACAAGCGCACTCTCTGCAAAGCATGAATCCCCTGCCCTGCTCTTTTTGTCATTCGACCATGCACCCTGCTTCCCGAGTTTCTCGCAGGTGAATTCTGCATAAGCACGCAGAACCCCGCGATACGTGAACTCATTCGGTTGAATGCCACTCCTCAGCATGCGCACGAACAGCCTGAAGCCTTGACCATCGCGCCCGGCGTCAAAATACCTCTCCACCATGGCCGTCCAAGAGACGACGTCCTGAACCGGCATCCTATCGAACACGCCTCGCGTCGTCCACGCGCCCGCACTTGGCGTACATGTCTGCGAGCGCTCCAGACGACGGCATCCGCGTCGATCCCTCTCCTGACCACGTGGCAGTGCAGCTCTCCCGCGCGCGCGCACCGGGCGGCCGTGGCTGCGGCGAGCGCGCTGGACGCGGTGAACTCGTTGTCCGCGCCGGCGCTCCCCGGCCCTGCAGCATCCGGCGGTAGATCGCGAGCGCGGCGCGGGCTGGCCGTGGCGCGCGTGGGCGGAGATGACGGCGGACCAGGAGAAGCGGTCCTCCGGGGCATTCGGTCGAACAGCGCGCA